CACACACACACACACACACACACACACTCTCTCTCTCTCTCTCTCTCTCTCTCTCTCTCTCTCACTCTGCATAGAGGAGTCGCAGAAATGCTACATCGCTCCTGCAAATTTTATAGATTTCGTTGATGATTTACATTTTGCAACGGCAAAATGTGTTACATGCAGCTTATTTTCGATTTAAAATTGTAAGACTTTTATTTTTTAAATGTCCTTTTTCTAAATCAAAAAATTTAAATATTCCGAGCACGCGATTAAAATGGAAACACTACCGATGTGTACACTTAAGCAGGGCGAGTTCAATAATAGAAATTAAAATGTAACGGTGCAAAATCCTGTTAGATTGATGTTAATTGTGGTCGAAATTGGCAGGACAGGAATAACGCATTCGCATTTGCGTCATTAGTCCATTCAAATACGTGCAATTTTAGCATTATATTTCCTCTGTGTGTAATAAAGCCGTGTCAATTTTGACATATAAATAACGCAATAGGAGTAAAAAAAATTGTCTTTATGAATTACGTTCGCTTCATATGTTCATTCGTCATTTATAAAAAAAAATATAAAATAATATAATAAAATAAATACAATAAAGATAAATGCAATATTTTCATTGTTATTCCCACATTTTTCTCGTTTGCAATTATCCAATTATCAATGCTCATATTATTTAGAGATTATCAATAATATTTTACGTGCTTAATCTTTTACTTTGCTCATTTTTCTTCTTAAGCTTCATACATTTGTCATTTGTAAAAAAAAACGTAAAATAATAAAATAAATAAAATAAAAATAATAAGCCCGGTATTTTCACTGTTATTCCAACATTTTTCTCGTGTCCAGCTAATGTTCATATTATTAATGTTAATATAATGTAATATTATTTTGATTATTAATTCATGTTCATATTATTTTGAGATTATCAATAATATTTTATATGCTTAATCCTTTATTTTATTCATTTTTTCGCGATCTAGATAGAAAAACATTTAGAGATCGATTACGCTTTAGAAATCGTCAAATAATATACTCGCAAATGGCAGTAAAAATCCGCGCGTGTATCGATGCGAAAACAATAAACATCGAGAAAATCCCGGGGATCGGATCAGCAAGTGAGTCTCTGGGACCACGAGAGATTAAAATGCATCCGTTCGGCCACGGAATTGCTTCTGTCTACATCTGCGGAGTGGAAGCGAAGTCTCCAGCAATTATCGCGGAATTCAACCGATCGTTACCCGTTTCCCTCAGGAGGATCGCGTCCGATTGTCTGAAATAGTCCGGATACGAAAAGAGAGGAAAAAACACGAGAGAAAGAGAGAGAGGGGGGGGAAGAGATCGACAAAGAAGACGACGTCGCGTAACGGGAGAAAAGTAAAAAGAAGCAATTCCAACGGTTACCCGCAACGGAGACACCTAGAAACCGTCGACGGCGGCGCGGCGAGAGTGGACGAGACAGAGAATAGTGTAAAAGGAATAAAAGAAACGCGAGAGCGAAGACGCGATGGAGGCGCGGATAAAAAGGCCGGTACTTTAAAGCATAAACTGGTCGTGCGCAACATCTTTCACGCCAAGCCCGAAATGTGTATGACTTATTTCATAAATTTTTAATAAAATTTTTCACTCGAGTGACATACAGAATAGAAAACACATATTTGCGATTGATAAAAAAATAATTATTTTTTCGCCCAA